GCAAGGTTTTTTACCTTGATGCAGAGCATACATTAGCATAAAAATCCAGTAGACTTTAGAACTACTTTAACAAGGTGCGTATTTGTACAGGTGTCAAACTGGCAGCCCTCCAGCTGTTGCAAAACAAGTCCCATGAGGCATTAGAAGATTGACAGTTACAAGCATGACTCCCAAAGGCAGAGCATCATGGGACTTGTAGTTTCGCAACAGCTGGAGGGCCGCCAGTTTGACACCCCTGTGTTAAAGGATGTGCCTATATTTGAAGTATATGTAAACCTTCACCTAGTAGAACAACCCATTCAATTTAAAATAGAAATGAAAGTCAAATGTATGTCTGTGTGTGTGTACACTGTATTGCCAAAGGTATTGGGACACCCCTCCAAATAATTGGATTTAGGTGTTTCAATTACCTCCATGGCCACAGGTGTATAAAATCAAGCACCTAGGCATACAAACATTTGTGAAAGAATGGGTCCTCTCAAACTCAGTGGATTCAAGCGTGGTACCGTGATAGGTTGCCACCTGTGCAATAAGTCCATCCATCAAATTTCCTTGCTACTAAATATTCCACAGTCCACTGTTAGTGGTATTATAACAAAGTTGAAGCAACTGGGAACAGAAACTCAGCCACAAAGTGGTAGGCCATGTAAAATGACAGAGCGGGGTCAGCACATGCTGAAGTGTGCAGAAGTCGCCAACTGCCTGCAGAGTCCATAGCTAAGACCTCCATACATCGTGTGGCCTCAGATTAGCACAACCACAGAACGTAATAGAGCTTCATGGAATGGGTTTCCATGGCCGAGCAGCTGCATCAAAGCCTTACATCATGTAGTGCAATGCAAAGCATCAGATGCAGTGGTGTAAAGGATGCCGCTACTAGACTCTAGAGCAGCGGACATGTTCTCTGGAGTGACAAATCGCATTTCTCTGGCAATTCGATGGACGTGTGGATTTGGCATTTGCCGGGAGAACAGTACTTGCCTGACTGCATTGTGCCAAGTGTAAAGTTTGGTGGGGGCAGGATTACGGTGCGGGATTGTTTTTTAGGGGTTGAGCTTGGCCCCTTAGTTCCAGCAAAGGGAACTCTTAAGGCGTTGGCATACCAAGACATTTTGGCCAATTTTTCATGCTCCCAACTTTGTGGTAACAGTTTGGGGATGGCCCCTTCCTGTTCCAGCATGACTGCACACTGGTGCACAAAGCAAGGTCCATAAAGACATGGATGAGCGAGTTTGGGGTGAAGGAATTTGATGGTCCTGACCTCAACCCGATAGAACACATTTAGGATGAATTATAGCGGAGACTGTGAGCCAGACCTTCTCGTCAGACATCAGTGCTGACCTCACAAATGCACTTCTGGAAGAATGGTCAAACATTCCCATAGACACTCCTAAACCTTGTGGACAGCCTTCCCAGAAGAGTTGAAGCTTGAATAGCTGTTATAGCTGCAAAAGGTGTCCCTATGGGTTAAGTGTGGGATGCCATTAAAGCGTGTGTGTGTGTGTGTGTGTGTGTGTGTGTGTGTGTGTGTGTGTGTGTGTGTGTGTGTGTGTGTGTAAATTAATGGAAAGTTTTTTTTTTTTGTTTTTTTTTTTATCGGAGTATAGCATAAAGTCAATTAAACTCCTGGGATATTGATCCGGTCAGTTAAGTATCAGAGGAGGTTGTTAATCCATTTCAGATGCTTTGGTGTTAATGACATTAACGGGTGCACTAGATGGGCAACAATGAGACAACCTCCAAAACAGGATAGGTTTTACAGGTGGAGGCCTTTTTTTCCCTACTCCTCTAGTCTTTCACTAGTTTTGCATTGGGCTAGGGTCAGTGTCACTACTGGTAGCATGAGGCGATACCTGAACCCTACAGAGTTTGCAGAGACAGTCTAACTCCTCCAGGATGGCACATCAATACGTGCCATTGCCAGAAGATTTGTTGCTGGCTCCTAGGATAGTCTCAAGAGTATGGAGGAGACTCCAAGAGATACAGTTACTCTAGGAGACCTGGACAGGGCCCTGGAAAGTACTTAACTCATCAGCAGGACCCGAGACTGCCGTTTGGTCATTCACAAGATAAAAACTCTTGTGTTCCTGAATGTCTGAGAGAGAATGTAGGATTGTAGTACTTGCTGTAAGATATTTGATGTGCACAAGTCCCACCCTCTGTCTTTGATTGTGCTTTGGTACTGCTTTGCTACAGAACTGGCACATGCTGGTAGTGGGAGGGATTATCCTGGCTGGCCTACAGCCAGGTCCAGTCATCCTGTGAGGGGTAAAAAATGACCTGTGTCACATAATAGACTCCCAAGAAAAGGATTCTTGCCTGAACTCAAGATCTTGGAGGTGTACTTATGTACTCTTGAGCATATAGTTAACATGGTCAGGTGTCTACAAAGTTTTGACCATATTGTATAAAATGCATTTTTTTTTCTTTTTTGTAAGCTATATTTCATTGATCAGAATGGGCTGGACAGAAGCTAATCTGTTTTGGTAGACTGCTTCTATAGTAGGTATCACTAAATAGCAGACCGCGGGTCAGATGCTGACCGAGTCACTGTCCCATATGGACCCGCGGTCGTGCCATTTAGGAGCTAGTTCTATCTCCCAGCTTCTGCCACTGGCATATTAACAGCAGAGCAGAGATCAGAAGGCAGGACAGAATGAGAGCGAGAGGCACTGTAGCACTGCATGGAGAGCTTGAGATACCTTTACAGATTGACTAGCAGGTGATTGGTTGCTAGGACACAGAGTGGTCCGAGCAACCAATCAAATGCTTTGTAATTTGCAAAGTTAACTTCAGCCGATCCTGCTCCTGCCATTTATGCAGTGCTACCGTGCCTATCGCTCTCTGATCTGTCCATCCTCCCGATCTCCACTCTGTGTGCCTGCCCGGTAGCCGAGTGAGAGGAGAAGACCTGGCTTTGAAGGATGGGGGGGCGGTGGATGCTTGTGAACTTGAGAGCTCTACTTTGGGGGGGCAGAGCACACTACTCTGTGAGTGGGGGGGGGGGGGGGGGGGGGGGGGGGGGTGGAGCACACCACTGTATGTCGGGGGAGGGGGGAAGCTGAAAGGACTAATTGAGGAGATGTGAAGGGGCAGAGAACAACCCGTGGTGTATGTGGGGGGGGGGGGGGGAGAGGACTACCAGGGAAGGTGGCAGAACACACTACTGTGTATGGGGTGGGGCAGGGGATACTACTGTGTGTGGGGGGCAAGAGGAGGACTCTACTGTGGGGGGGTGCAAGAGGAGGACACTACTGTGGGAGAGGTGGGGGGGCAAGAGGACGACGCTACTGTGGGGGGGGGGGGGGGGGGGGGGGGGGGGGGGGAAGAGGAGGACACTACTGTGGGAGGGATGGGGGGGGGGGCCAAGGATTAGGACACTACTGTGGGGGATGATGTGAAAGGGGCAGAGGACACTGCTGTGGTGATGTAAATGGTGGTTCAGAACACAACACTACTGTGAATGGCCAGAGGACACTGATGTAAGAATGGGATTGTGATATAAGAGGCAAGGGGCTGTGATGTAAAGGACCGGAGTCATTGGACAAATATGCAATTCGGCTCTCTGCTGGAAGAAAATTTTACTGATCGGACCTCTGTGAATTTTAATTAGTTACCCCTGTCCGATGCTTAAAAGTAATTTCCCACTATTAGAGAAGGCTGTTTGTTTCTCTAGAATCTTCCAGAAAGTGGCTGCATGATTGGCGTGTATCCAGGAATATTCTGTTTCTCATAGCAATTGTCTGTAGTCCCTGTATAATTGTTGTGTGCCAAAAAGAAAAGGCTTGCCTCTGTTTTTTATCTTGTTCCTGTTTTTTTTACCTGTTTGTTCTCGCCACCTGCAAAGTTTGTTTTTTTTTTTTTGGTTTTTTTTTTTTTTTTTTTTTTTTTTTTTGCTTCAATTATTTTGCCTCTCAGGCAACAGAAAGCACTCGTTTCCTAGGGCAGATATAATGAAGTGCAGCGATCGTGTAGCCGGTCATATTAACTTTAAATTATTGTGGCAAAGTTCCAATTCATCATCCTGACAGCTTGCAGTTCGTGGACACTTTAGTTTATTACACAGTTCTGCCTGAGAGCCGCATCTCATGCTTCAGCGCTGACACTGGCTTGTACGTTAGTTATCTCACTACCCCTCCCAGATCTCCCCTGTGAGGACCTCCTCTCCCCAGTTTTAAGCCCATGTTCTCCTTGATTTCTCACTGTGACATATTTGCATTTCATTTGCTTTTTTCACTTGTATTATAGGTTCACTTCCAATTGAGCAAAATGCAGTGCTCTGTCTGTGTTACACAGCAAAGCTCTAATGTGCCAAGTCCAAATGCAAGTTGCCATTATCTGACTTCTGAGCCCTGTACGAGACAAGATATGCTTACTCAGCTTCTTGGAGATTTACAGAAATATGTAGTGTGAGCTGACAACGCTGCTTCTGCTGCAATAAAATCCCAAAAATTGTTGTAGACTCTGACCACCAGCTGAGTTCTGTAATTCATCATAAGCATACTGGGCAGGCCTTTTGACACCGCTTAGTATTTCAGTGCAGCAAAGGCAATGTGCACAGAGGTTTAGGAGCTCACTGGGTTTCTGGCAGATTGTTTTTTTTTCTGTATTTATTTTAAAAGGGAATAAACGTTGGGAAATTCATGCTTTGTAGAGATTACCAAGTGTTGTGTTTTTGTTTTTTTTTTTTTTTTTTTTTTTTTTTTTTGAGGTTTAGGCCTGTTTTGCAAGTGTTAGCCAGTTAGGGGTCAGTGGTGTGTTTTTGACTTGCAGCTCCTTCAGTGTAACCAGAACAGCCTGGTCCCAGCAAGCGTGCATTAATCTATCATCATATTCTCACTTATTTACCTATTCTCAAACCGGCACAATGAAGCTTGCTTGCATGGAAGAGTGTGTAACTGCCATTAGTTGTTTCCATACCTCATAAGTTTACAGTCAAGCTGTTGAGAAGGGCTTCTAAAGCACAAAATGTCAATAATGCATTATATTTCCTGTTCCAGGTCTCCAATCCTCCCAAGTAGTTCTCCGTCCAAATCCATCCCCATTCCCCAGCCCTTTCGACCAGCCGACGAAGACCACAGAAACCAGTTTGGCCAGCGAGATCGTTCGTCATCTGCCCCGAATGTCCACATAAACACCATCGAGCCAGTAAATATTGACGTGAGTAAACCGCGCGCTGTATGTTCAAAAAGCTTGCATAGCAGATCCACTAACCTTTCTCAAAAACTGAGAAAATGGCAAAATACACTGAAGAGATGTAAAACTGTTCAGTCAGTCATGTGATTCTAGCACTCCAGACAGAAATGACAACTAGGTCATAGACCTGCATTACCCTTTAATAGTACAGCTTAGTCAAAGACTTATCTGCAGTCTGAACAGTTAGGGGGCTACAGCACAATTATAGGGTCACTGTACTCATTTTGTGAATATATTCAGAAAGTTAGTTTGAAAGTATGGAACAGTAGAAAACGTTTGGGTAGGTGGAGAGTGCTGCCTCATCCCCTGCCAGTTCTACCATGCAAGAGATTACATATTCTTGCTATATTATAAAATCTTCTGAATAGACTGAATATTTTTAGAATGAGTTGGAACGCCATTGAAAAGGTAACATAAGTACCTGACCCCTAGATGGTATTTTCATTGAATCGGCCCAAATTCCCACAAAATTACTCCAAAATCTTGTTGGAAGCCTTCCTAGTAGTGTGGAATCTGTTCTAGCCAAAAAGGGGGCGAGCTCTATATTAATGATTTTGGTTTTAGAATGGGATAACCAAAACTACTCAAAGTGGTAATGGTTAGGCGTCTGCAAACTTATGGCCACATAGTGTGTTTGCACTTCCAGCAAATGAGCGCAACATACAGAATAAAATAAAGTGTTCTTTTTTTCATAGGACTTAATTCGAGACCAGGGCCTTCAGCGAAGTGAAGGAGGTAAGTGAGATTTCTTCTCCAAAGTAGACATCTCCTAGACACAACACAAATGACATTGACCTCCTTACATACCATGCATAAGGCCTTATCAAGTAGAAATTATTTTGACAACCTCTTAGAAGTTAAGATATGTTTTTCTAAAAAAAAAAAAAAAAAAAAAAAAAACGGACAAAAAAAATGTTCACCATGGGCGTTTAGCCAATTGAAAGCCTTTTTTTTTTCTAGATTTAAAATAAGCCAATGAAATAGAGCTAAAATGGGTTTCCCCACAGTGGGTTGGGCTTCTTACATCCCTGTTTCTTTTAACATTAAAAATTTAACTTTTTCCATAAGTCTATTTTTATTTAATTCATTCTAACAAATTGATATAAATTTTTCTAACCTACATACACACCTTTCTGATTTTCATTTTTGTTCATTGTTACATCTGTTTTAGGCCTTCAAATGTATAACACTTGCTTCTATGTTCAGTATCCATTTTCTATAAATTCTGTATTTTTCTTCATTTATTCCTAAACTCCCAGTCTAGCCCTAATACATGCTACCTTCTGTACATAATAAAAATAATGTGAATTTAATGTCTGTATACTGGAATCATTTTGCTAATTATGTCTTAATTCTGCCCTCCTGCTCAAATTTCTTCCCTTTTTTTTTTTCTCCCCACTACTACATTTTAATCCCCCTTTTTCTACTCTTTTTATCTTCTTCATCCCCCATTTCTTTTTATTTTTTTTTTTCCTCCCCTTTGCTTTCTTTACGCCTGTGTTTCTCCCGCAGCCCCTCAGGTCCAGCCGACCCGCTGCCTTCGGAAATACCACAATCGGAACCCCAGCCCACTCCTCCATACACTCCCCAGTGAAATAGTCTTTGATTTTGAGTCTGACCCCGTTTGCAGAGGTAGTTGGGCTGTTTATTTTACCTAACCCCTCACCTTAAAGTGATCCTGTGGCGAGGCTATAGACATTCCCGGTATTTACATATTTTTTGCAAGTAGTACATGATCATTAAAGCAAAGTCTTGGTGATCTCTGTACATGAAGGAACTATGGAGCAATCTATCTTCAAAATCCTCACAGCAGAATAACTGAAAAGTCATTCTCAGCAGTCACCCTGCCCAGAGCAAATGCTCTTTTTGTTTACATATTAGAGATTGGAAGGCTGTTGAGCTGCTGCTTGGATTGAAGAGCAGAGGGAGCTGAGCTGCTGAGTCACTGCTTGGAAGGAGGAGCTGAGCTGGTAAACTGTTGCTGGAAGGGAGAATGGGGATAGCTGAACTACTGCTAGGAAGGGGAATATGGTTAGCAGGGTGAGCAGAGCTGTGAAGAGAGCTGACTTAAACCCCTTTACTTCATCTAAGGATGAATTGCTCTATAGTGCTTGCGGCTGCAGAGGTAAGTAATTGTTCTAAATTTCATTTACTGCTTGTTAAATATATGTGAATACTTGAGTCTCCATAGCCTGGCCACAAGTTCACCATAAACTTCCTAAACTCAAAACCCTATAAAACTGTCTCTTCCACTGCTTGCACCGCTTGTACAGGTGTGCAACACAGACACTGCTTAGTTTTTTTTTTTTGTTAGTTTTTTTTTTGGTTGAACACTATGTGCTCTGTGGTTATAGTGTGTTAACTGATACTATGAATTTTTAGGAGTTTGTGCTGACCATTGAGGCACCATCAGCAGTGTATGTGCATGAAAGCTTACACCTACCTGGTCTAACTTTTCTTAAAAAAAAAAAAAAAGTCGCCTTTCCTATCACTTAGCTCTATAATATCTCCACATGTGTGTTTTTGCTATGCATGCTAGAAGGATGTGTTTGGAGTGTCTAATAGAAGTAGTTTTTGATGTGCATTTGTAGTGTGATGTGCGGTTTTTGTTTGCGTTCTCTTTTACCATATAAAGAAAATAGTATAGCACTTAAATCTTTTTAAAGGGTTAGTCCACCCAAACACTGATATTTCAGTTTTTGTAGATGTTGGAAATTTGAACCACCTTGACAGTCTCTCTTTTATCTTTTGGGGACTCTCTTGGCTACCATCGCTGCTACTTTTTGTTATCCTATAGTTTAAAATAGAAAAATCAGACGGAACAAGAAAAAATAGCTTTTCTCTCTTTCTTACTTCCTAAGAGTGGAAGTATGTTAAGTTCACTAACCGCAAACACCTTGATAAAATCAAAATATCAATTTTGGATGGACAAATTCATTAAAGTGACTTTGTCTTCAAATTGAACCTGAAAATAAAAGTGTTGAAAAGAAGGAAGTAAATGCTTGCCTCTGCTGTCACCCACACTGCCACACACCCCTCATTTGAAGAGAGATCTAAAAACACTACAGTGCATAAAATGAAGTAAGGGTCGGTGGGAGGACAAGGAGACTGACACTACAAGAACTGTCAGTTTCTGAAGAATATAGCTTCAGTAGTGTGCAGCAGCATGGGTAGCAGGAGAGGTATGTATAAACTTTTATCCTTTTTGGGGAAAACTTTTATTTGCAGGTTTGGTTTGACTGCTGGGTTGCTTTAAATATACGCTTTTTAAACTAGTTTTTCATTTATGGATTTGTTTCACAAATATTGTAAACTTTGGTGTTCTAGTTTCAATCACTTGTTTTTAACATGAATTTTCATTCTTGTGCTGGTTCAAAATGTTGAACAGTAATGCATTTCAATCATGGCTGATTGCTCCCATTGCCCCAAATGAGCAATAGACAGTCCTATGTATAAGATAGCGATTGAACGTCCGCCAAGTGAGTCAGCATTGACATCTTCAAATATTATTACAAGTTAGTTTGGTTTAGTTTGAAAACCTTATTATTTTTCATCACAAAACTGATATTGGAGAACAACATTCTTCAATTTTCACATTTTTGTGGTTACAGAAAAGAACAAATAATAAAGAGTAGACAGAATAACGTGACTTTCAGAGACCAAAGGATTTAAAGCGCAGCCTGCTATCTACTGACCAAAGTAGAACTTCAAACAGGCAGAAAGTACTTCATATCATTGTGAATTGTAGTTTCATGAGAAGACTCTGAATAAGAAGAAAATGTCAAGTAATAAAGAATGGTACTAATGTTTACAAAAGCACTGTAATTCGAGTGTTCATTATTTACAAGTCATTCGTAATAGTAGTAACATATGTAAGCTGTTAAGGGGAACAGATCATTTTATCTACCGTGGGGACTGTTTGGGACTAAAACTGGTGGTGCTAGGCTGGGGTCACTACGTCATCTGCACCATATCCTTTCATATTTTTCAGGTTGTTGTGTGGGATGGCATTCACTTTCTCTGTCCAAAGGCGTGTGAAGTAAGGGGGACAGGGGTTGCTTGTTTTCCTGGCCATGTACAGGACTTTGGTTACTGTTTGTTTTATGAGGATTGTCACAGGGAAGCTCCAAAAAAGTCCAAAAGCTCCTAATAGAAATGCCTAGTTAATGATACCAAACACCTCCTGCTATTATTGGACCAGTCTCTGGAGTTTGCAGAACATGTGGGTTACCTTTTCCCAAAGTGTACCTAAGGCACAATAGAGTCTCTTTGAGCAAGCTGAACATTCTTGAGGGAGTCCTAACTGTAAGTTTCAAGGTGATATAGACCTTTTATTCTTTGCAGGGTTTCAAGCTACTGCCCATCTGTAATCTGACCTAGGACCTTTGCCCATTATTCCAGGTCACCATAATTATAGTAGGCTATGTGAGCTGACAAGCAGAATAGTAGGATTGGAAGGATTTAAGTGCATCCGTAAGGTTTATCTGAGAAAGGTGCCTGCTTTGTTCCATAACAATCAGCTCCTTGAAGTGTTTATTATGCCGCAAAGAGGTATGCTCATTAGTACCTTGATTGTTGGGGATTCATTTTATTTGGGCCTAGGTCTTATGGCATAGGATGAGGGTGGGATATTGTGTATGGTTTTTAAAGATATTCGTGAGTTCTTTCATAAGGTATGACGTCCGTGTTTGGTTAGAACCATTCCACAGACTCAAGTGCCATCCTCTGAAGTGCTGTAGCTGTGCTACTAGATAATACAGCCAAGGTTTAGGGACTAGCAACCCCTTCTTCCCAGGAAAGGTAGTGTTTCCAGCTTGAATTGAAATAAGTTCAGACAACAATGGGCCATTTTTAGGTATTTATATGGGGGTATTGTGAGTAATATACAGTGCCTTGAAAAAGCATTTGTACCCCATGAAATTTTCCAGATTTTTGTGTTTTATGTTTGATTTATTTTTGTGGTGTAAAGGGTAATTGTGTAGTGGCTGCACTGATTTGATAATTACGTTTTGGTTACAGTGCCTTGAAAGTATTCATACCCCTTGAAATTTTTCACATTTTGTCATATTACAATCAAAAATGTAAATTTTATTTTATTGGGATTTTATGTAATAGACCAACACAAAGTAGCACATAATTGTGAAGTGAAAGGAAAATGATAAATGTTTTTTTAAATTTTTTTACAAATATCATCTGAAAAGTGTGGCGTACATTTTGTATTCAGCTCCCCTGAATCAGTACTTTTGGAGAACCACCTTTCGCTGCAATTACAGCTTCGAGTCTTTTTGGGGATGTCTCTACCAGCTTTGCACATCTAGAGAGTGAAATGTTTGCCCAATCTTCTTTGCAAAATAGCTCAAGCTCTGTTAGATTGGATAGAGAGCGTCTGTGGACAGCAATTTTCATGTCTTGTCACTGATTCTCAATTGAATTTAAATATGGACATAACTGACTGGGCCATTCTGACACATGAATATGCTTTGATCTAAACCATTCCATTGTAGCTCTGGCTGTATGTTCAGGTCATTGTCCTGCTTGGAAGGTGAACCGCCACCCCAGTCTCAAGTCTTCTGCAAACTCTAACAGTTCTAAGAATGCCCTGTATTTGGTTCCATCCATTCTCCCATCAACTCTGACCAGCTTCCCTGTCCCTGCTAAAGAAAAGCATCCACACAGCATGATGCTGCCACCACCATGTTTCACGGTGGGGATGGTGTATTTAGGGTGATGCGCAGTGTTAGATTTTTGCCACACATAGCGTTTTGCTATTAGGCCAAAAAGTTAAATTTTGGTCTCATCTGGCCAAGGACCTTCTTCCACATGTTTGCAGTTTGCGAGAAGCCATGTGGAGGACACAGCAAACAGGACTTCTTATGGCTTTCTTTCAACAATGGCTTTCTTCTTGTCACTCTTCCATAAAGACCAGATTTGTGGAGTGCATGATTAATAGTTGTCCTGTGGACAGATTCTCCCACCTGAGATGTGGATCAGCTCCTCCAGAGTTACTATGGGCCTCTTGGCTGCTTCTCTGATTAATGCTCTCCTTGCCTGGCCTGTCAGTTTAGGTGGACAGCCATGTCTTGGTAGATTTGCAGTTGTGCCATACTTTTTCCCATTTTTGGATGGTGGATTGAACAGTGCTCCGTGAGATGTTCAAAGCTTGGGATATTTTCTTATAACCTAACCCTTCTTTAAATTTCTCCACAAATTTATCCTTGACTGGTCTGGTGTGTTCCTTGGCCTTCATGATGCTGTTTGTTCACTAATGTTCTCTAACAAACCTCTGAAGGCTTCACAGAAAAGCTGTATTTATACTAAGATTAAATTACACACAGGTGGACTCTGTTTTACTAATTAGGTGACTTCTGAAGGCAATTGGTTCCATGAGATTTTAGTTAGGGGTATCTGAGTAAAGGGGGCTGAATACAAATGCATGTCTCACTTTTCAGTTTATTTATAAAAAATGTTGACAATCATTTTCCTTCCACTTCACAATTATGTGCCCCTTTGTATTGATCTTTCACATAAAATCCCAATAAAATATATTTTATGTTTTTGGTTGTAACATGACAAAAGTGTAAAATTTCAAGGGGGATGAATACTTTTTCAAGGCACTGTATAACAGTTAAACC